GGGGGGGGGGGGAGAAACACAGAGGAAGTAAAATTTATTCTGCTTTTGCAGAAATGCACGGGGAAAGAGAAAGGGTTCTGTCTGCTCCTGCGTGTTCTGCGTTCACTAACACTTCTTATCTTTGTAAACACAAGATAACAGCTCTGAAAATCAAGTACAACCCCTTTGCCAAAGCCTTCCTGGACGCCAAGGAAAGGTGAGCACAGACGCTTCGGTAACATCTGTGAACTGACTTCTGCAAATGTGAAATGCGTGATCATCCAGGAGGCAGCTAGACTAGCAGCGCTGCTTTACCTTTGGTGGAATTCTGTTCTCAATGTTCAGTTTCATGTTGAACAAGATCAACAGAATTCAATCAACTCATCAGTACCTGTTCCTGGTGATTGAGGTCCAGGAGGCCCTCTCACTGGCAATGTGTTGTCGGCTGTTTTACTATAGATTCTCGAATCTATAGTAAAATAGATTTAAAAAAATAATGGATTTAGAGCTCTAGTAGTTCACTCTGCCACCCCCACCTCCACCCCCATTTATCTCTGAATAGTATGGTTTCAGTAACTTTTTTTTTTTTTTAACTCCATTTAGCCTAGGAAATGTGAGTCATTCATAAATGTGACAGATTCTAACTTTTTAGGTCTGAGAGAAGTCAGACTTCTGGGGTGTGAGCGATAATTCTACCACTTTGGGCCAGTGACGTCATGTCTCTATATCTTTACTTTCCATTCTAGGGGGGGGGAAAAACAGTCAAAGAATAATGTACTTATCATTGATTCTATCAACAGGGCCTGGAGTATAAATGTGATTACCTTCCAAGTGCTCAGGTGTCATCTCTCAAGTTCCACGTCTTGTTTGATACCACCTATCACTGTCTAGTCTTTCTTTTTCATCCTAAAGGCTCTGATGTTTATAATGACGCCATAGGAATCTGTCCTATCGCTATTTGATTTAATTTCAGTGATCTAGAAGACATGTATACATATGTATAAAACTTTTTCAGATCACTAAAGGCCTAAAGAAAATCTGATCTGTGAGATGACAGAATCCAGGTTCAAATGCTAGTAGGGTGGCATAATAAAAATAATTTAGGACTTTGTGTATGAGGTCCTGACTTTGAGTCCACGCTTTGCCATTTCCTGGATGTTTGATTTGGCCGAAGTCAGTTTACCTCCCTGAGATCCATCCACTTGTTAAATCTGCACAATGGGTATCGTGATATCTCTTCCCTCGCAGGATCATTGGTGGGTCTAGCACATGACAGGTGTGATGTTGTCCTGAAGTCCTCTGCAAATCTCAGCTGTTGTTATCGCTGCTTGGATTTTGCCAGGCTGGAACAATGATCACAGATCGCTAAGATCAAACCAAATAGGAATAGCGGTAGAAGAGGGCGAATTGGAATAACCATAAAATTGCAGTTCAAAGAGCAAGTGCACATGTCAGTAAAGCGCCCTGGAAGAAGGAGAACGGGGAAAAGATAGAAGCTTTGAGAAAAAGGGTGTTTGATTTCCAAGAAATGTATTGCTCTCCAAAGAGACTCGGGGGCAGACGTCACGCGGAATTGTGTAATGAGCTGCGAAGTCATGGTACGTGTCGTTCCTCTTCCAGGAACCACCTCAAAGATGTTCCAGAAGCTATCTCTGAGAGCCAGCATGTGACCTACTCTCACTGTGAGTTGGGTGGACAGTGGGTGGGAGGCACCTGGGGCTACACTAGGAGCCATCTCCCACCTTAGAATTTTTACCTGTTGGGACCGCTTAAGGCCTGTTCCAAATCTGTCAAGACCCAACAGGTTACTTCTTCCACTTAAGACAAGTTTATGCCCTTGCAAGAGTTCCCTGAGAGAACCAGTGTTCGTAGGGGGCTACAGCAAATGTTAGGCAGGAGATAAGAATGGAAACGATGAGTTTCTTGGACTGTTTTTGGGTTGGTGAGGCTGAGCACTCTCAGAAGTGCCCTCTGGGTGTGTCTGCTTCCCCTCAGCTCTCGCCTCTCTGTTTTGGCTTTCCCCTGTTCTTAGTACTTGCTAGCTTTCGAGTTGGTCACCACTGCATGTCCTCTGAAGCTGCAACAGTAACCCAAGGTCAGTGACAGGAGACCAGAGAAGTTAACCCTGGTGTCTGAGACACTTCACTTTGGATCACAGTGGTTTGCTAAGATGCCTTCTGCAGTTTTCCAGCTCTGGAACTCCTTTCTCTCTTCTCCTAAACCTTCCTGCATCCTCCATTCATTGCCAAAATGACAGTATAGCCACACTGAGAAAGCAGCTCTCAGAAAAGCCCTTTTCAAAATGACCTGGGATGCAAAGGTTTCTTATAGGATGGGACCACGTGCATAACTGCACATTTTCCAAGTTCATACTTTGCCATCTTCTCAGCAAACTTTTTGGTAATCTCCCTCTCCCACTCCCTCTCCCTCTCCCTCTCCCTCTCCCTCTCCCTC